GAAAGAAAAAAAGAGAACATTATGAAAAATGTGTATAAATGAGCATTATCAAAATTTGGGGGAATTTTGACAAGGAATGTCGTATGCTGGTAGGTTGGCTGCATTGGTGGCACGTAGATAATAAAACGAGGATATGTGATAAATGTATGGCAGAACATTCTTTTGAGGATGTCAGTCATTCTTTCTTTCTGCATACTACTTCATGAAAAGAGGTCACAGAGAAATATTTGGTAGTACATACAGATCAGTTATGGAACTGAATTTATTGTCACGAATACAAATCCAGTAGCTTCCAAAGCATAATGTATTTCTTGTCCTAATATTGGTTGGTTTCTATCCAAATCAAATTGATAAAAGATATGATAGAAGACTCACTACCTTGTGTCAAGTGATCACCATAATCTCCAGGCCTCATGCAAGCAAAATACAACTGTACCACAAATATTCTGCGAAGACATAGTTTGGACTGATTTCTTATTTGATGAAAAGACAAACAAGGAAGCTTACTGCTATTTTTTGTAAGAATACATATAATAGAGATTTGTTGGCCTTTACTGCAGCGATCCTGCTTAAGCCAGTGCCTTATAGTCTTTGAAGTTTACAATAATAACAAAAGTAACAATAAAATAATCAACACTATCAAATTAAAAAAATAGATCAAAATATTGATACTAACAATAAAATTAACAAAAACACTACTGCCACGAAATAATACTACACTAGTACTAACATAAGTATTACGATGGCTTCACTGGTACCAGGATTAGTAAAAGTGACAATACTGTCATTAGTAGGCCTAATATTATAATAAGCTAAAGTAATACAATTACTAATATCTTCATTACTTATAATAGGATGTTACCATGTACTGTCATACCTAATTAATGATGATATATAAAATTAATGATCACTACCATCTACAACAACCAAATACTTGAAGAAGATGATACATAAAAGAGCAATTTTTTTTACTATACTGCTCACTATTTCTGTAGACTTTTAATATGTGTATATCATTGAAGAGCTTTAATGAAAAATACATGAGTTAGTGAATATTACCAACAGTTTATGATATAATACACTCTATACTCTACATCATTAAATATCTTTTGCAACAAACTTTTGAACTTTTACTTGCATACAACAAGCTATCAAACAAAAACTGTATTCTTCATTCATATTTTCTTTGGAAAATTTTCCAAAAATATCTGAAATTCCTTGAAAGCAAATACCTTGACATCACAAGTAACAGTGGTTTTCTTATATCAAGACATCCATCTACTTAATTCAAAAGGATGATAATGAAATTTATATACAAAATATATATTTAATATCTTCCAAAAATCAAAATCTGAAGGGAAAATCAGTCGACCTTGATGCCAGACCCAAGAGTGCTTGTCGCCCCCTCCCCCGCCCCCCCAAAGTGTGCCTTCGATCCATAAACAAGAAAAGGATAATTTTGCAGATCTTCCATCTCCACCTTCGTCCCTTGCCCTCTTATCCTTACCTGTAGCTCCTCCTTGCCTTCCCTCGGTTTTCTCCATGGTTCCGGCAGACGTCATGGCCTAGGAGCGAAATTATCCACACATTTATGACATGAAGCCAGGGCGACGTCTCTCTCCCGTGCGCACACTCCCAGGAATGTGTGTTGTGATGACGCGCCCGGACGTTCACCTGTACAGGTCGTCGCGGGTTTGGGTTTTCATCACTATTTTTCAAGGTCTACATCGCATTTAACACTTCGTACTTAGGTTGTTAGGGCTTAGGTCTCTTGTGTCTGATGCTTCTCCTGCCTGACAACGCTCGAATATCCATATATGTTACTTTTCTGATTATCCATATATGTGCTGTTGTTTTTCTTCTTCACATTCACTTGCCACAACTGTTGATCAAGCAATCATCAGTGCTTTATAACAATAATTACAAACTGACCACTACTGTAGCCTAGATAAACTTGCACTTCTTGATCAGCTGATCTCCGAGTTAACTCTGACTCATCAGTAGACACTTCATACTGGGAGCCGGGACTACGTAACATGGTGTAACCTGCTGGGCTATCCCCTCATCCTACCCCCCCCCCTCTCTCTCTCTCTCTCTCTCTCTCTCACACACACACACACACACACACACACACACACACACACACACACACACACACACACACACACACACACACACACACACACACACACGCACACACACACACTTACTTTCTTCAAAGATATTTTTCTAAATTGAAAACTAATGAATAGCACAGCAAAGAACTTCACATTGCATCAGTGATGCAATGTGCCAAAAAAAAGCAAAGTGATACAAAACGTGTTAGAATTGTGAATTTCCTTTATATAAGGTATCAAACAGGATCAACACGGAAATATCAACGTATGGACACATCAGAAATTTGCATTTATTTCCAGAATATCCACGTATGTACGTTAGAAATTTGCATTTAATTTCAATCATTCTACAATTTTCCCTGTTTACACGTATATAACAACGCAAAGTTCAAGACACTTCCTGAGAGCATAGCTCGGTTGCAGCATTGCATGGAGACCGAACGTTTAGCGGCAAAGTAATTCAAGGTCAGCTCCTAGCTGAACGTCGTTTTTTAGACTACATATTGTATAATCTAAAAATACTTGTCAACAAATGGAAGATTCATGATAATTATAATTTCAAATGTCCACACACAGAAACGTTTTTACCGAGGATGACAGACAAAGATTAGGTATTCTTGCACCACTTTCTGTAACATCCTGTCGACGTGATGCACATTATACGAAGATCATTAATTGTAAACAATATTTTGTCATGAGAGTAGATAAGTTCATCCAAATTTAAGCACATGTATCTTAGCAAGATACATGTGTATGTGTAATCATGTACTAAGGAAATAAACAGCAAGATGGCTTACAAACCTGCGCTAAAAACGATTAGAATTATATTGTTTACCTACTATGAGATGATTCATCATAAATTTTATGTAGTCATGACACGCATTTTCTAATGTTTTTCACGTATCTGAACCATGTGACCACACTTAATCAAGGACTGTATGAACCAAATGCCGCCGGGGAAAGTGAAAAAATGGGGAAAATGATGTGCTCATATATATGAATATATATATATATATATATATATATATATATATATATATATATATATATATATATATATATTTCTTTTCTTTTCTTTCCCTTTCTTTTTTTTTCTCTAATTTCTTTTGTGAAATGTCTTTGCCCATAGATGGCTCTTTCCTTGAATTGGCGTGAGAAATGTATTATTATTATTATTTTTTTTTTTACTAGTGCTATGAATATCGATGGATTCAGACTCGTGTATCAAATTTTGATGAGTGCACACCTAGTTCATAACGCAGCAGCAACAAAGAGAAAGTCTTGTGCCAAAAGTGCTACCCTGGATCCCGGGGCCTCTCGTCTCGCTTGCATTGTTGCTTCTGAGTTTCTAAAGTAATTTGAAATAAAATAAAACCTGTTATTACAGATCCTTTTGCACTTTTTAGTGCTTTGTCTTCATCTTCAGTGCTCTCATTTTTGCTGTTAACACGCGGCTACAGGCGTAGTCAGCACCCCACCTCAGACCCGCTGTTCTCTACTATACTAGGGTAGCCCTTGTGGGCTTTGACCCCTGGTTAGGGAGGCACAGTAGTCCGAGGCGTCATTTGGGTGCACTTTTCCTTTTATTCTGAATTCTTTTAGCCTTCATGTGACTTCCCTGAGCCTACCAGAGTTCCTTGTGAACTCCCGTATTCGCTTGAGGGTGGGCATTGAATTACCGTCTTTCGCCAAGGCAAGTTCGGCGGTAAGGAGGTATCCTCCACATAACTAGATCCCCCGTCTTCCACCCCCCCCCTTCCCCGTGGGGGGAGTAGAAGACGGAAAACTTCCTTACTCTCTGCTGTTAAGTTGATACCAAAAGTTAAGAGTTTTTGATACCGATACCCATGATGAATGATACCCCCGCTACCCCTACTCCTCCTCAAGGAGGAGGAGCGACTCATGACCACTCTCTCATAAATTCTATAAACAATTTTCAAAATCCTCACCGAGAATGCAGGGTTCGCGAATGCGTGAATGAAAATCAATCGCTTTTGAACGTGAACCCCTTTATCATTAAAAAGGTCCTTGATTGTCAAGTGAACGGACGATAACTTTTGCAACTACAAACAAGCAAGAGCTAGGTCTCGTAGGATAATAAGACAAGCAAAAAGAGACTCCTGGCGGAGCTTTGTCTCTACAAATAACAGCAATACAAAAATATCAGAGGTTTTGTCCACTGTCAATAAAATAAATACGAAAGAAATATCTTTCAAACATAATAACATCATCCACGAGGGTATAATTTCGATTCACCTAAAGACATTGCTAATGCACTCGCCAGGCAGTTATCTCAGACAAGCAGCTCAGACAATTACCATGCCGCATTCCTGGCCACCAAGAAAGCGGTTGAGCTGCCACCTATTGAATTTGCCACAGGAGATGACTTTGACTACAATAAAGATCTAAAAATGGATGAGTTTGTCCGAGTCCTAGAATCATGTAGAAGAACATCCCCAGGCCCCGATGAGATTCGATATGAGATGATAAAGCATTTTAATCATGATGCCATGATTAAGTTGCTAGAAGTGTACAATGAAATTTGGAAAAGCCACACTTTTCCAAACTCATGGCACTTCGCCCACATCATTCCCATATTGAAAAGAGGGGGTAATTCCAGATCTGCCATCTCCTACCGCCCAATTGCGTTGACAAATTGCTTATGCAAAGTCATGGAACGAATTGTTATCAGTAGGATATTGCATTTTAAAAAAATCCAGTAATTTGCTAGTTGACGAGCAGAGGCAATTGCCAAAAAATATTAGATTTCAGTATTTTTAGATACGGAAAAAGCCTACGACATGACATGGCGATGTGGCCTACTCAGAAAACTTTATGCTTTTGGATTACGTGGAAACTTTCATTTCTGACAACCTTTGCTAT